TTTTTTTTAAAGCTAGGAGACACTTTCATAGTTTTTCCTATATTCATCCTCCTAACAATCTGTGACTATGTTACCATCCAAGGCAAAGGGAACTTTGGCAGTGTGGTTGAATTCAGGAACTTGATATAAAGGGATGAACGTGGGCTTTCTGGGTGGGCCCAATTGGGTAAAAGAGGGTGACACAGGAGAGAGGGGAAGGCAGGCAAGGGAGAGAAGGCATGACATGTGTGGGGAGCAGATGCTACAGTGACTCTACGGTGCCAGTTCTGAAGACAGGAAGGACCCTGTACCAAGGCATGTAGGCACACTCTAGAAGTGGAGAACAGTAAGAACACAGAGCAAAGGGATACAGCTCCTCTGGCACCTTGGGTGGATATCAGAATCATTTTACATTCTTGCCTATTAAGAATAGGCAATAAGATAATGCATCTGTTTTTTGGTTTTTTTTGTTTTTTTTTTTGGTGGAACCGGGGATTGAACTCAGGCTCTTGCGCTTTCCAGGGAAGTGCCTATTCCACTGAGCCATCTCCCCAACCCCAGTTTTTTGGTTTTTTTGCGGAACTGGGGATTGAACTCAGACCCTTGCGCTTGCCAGGGAAGTGCCTATTCCACTGAGCCATCTCCCCGGCCCCAGGTATCTGTTAAGTCGGTATGGTGGTACACACCTGGAATGCCCACACTTGGGAGGCTGAGGCAGGAGGATCGTAATGAATTTAAGCCCAGCCTGAGCTACACAGAGAGACTGTCTCACCCTCCTCACCCCTTAAAAAAAGATGTTAAATCTGTAGTGTTCTATGCCTCTAAATCTGTAGCAGCTTTAATTTTATTACAGCAGCCATAGAATACCAATATAAAAACTCAGGTAGGCAGGCTTGGAGTCCGTACTTCTAAATTGTAATGCTAGGACCTGAAATCTCAACCCTCTGGCTAATACAGAAGAATCACAAGTTCAAGCCCAGCCTAGGCAGTTTAGTGGTACAGCAAGACCCTGTCTCCAAAAATAATTTTAAGAAGCCAGCCAAACCTGCCCTAAAGGCATTCGGAGCAATAATAATAATAATAATAATAATAATAATAATAATAATAATTTTAGGAAATGGCTGGGGATGTAGCTCTCAGTGTAAGCAGCCTGGGTTTAGTCCTCAGTACTGCAAACCAAACACAAAATAATTTATGATTCCCAAAGAAATAGGAGAAATCACACAATGCATAGAAGCCACTGCTGAAAGATTCAAAGGATCCTTTTTTTTATTTTCAAAGCCATTCATTACTGACTATTAGATAACAAAGGCATGTTATACACTATTAGCTGTGCTTCATTTTGCTTTGCCTCAAGTCCCCGGGGCTCAGTCCCCAGCACCACAAAATGAGTAAACGAGGAACAAATAAATGAGATGATCACTGAGACAGCAAGGAAAAAAACCACAGCAATGCAAAAATAGTTCTTCCTTTTCTTTCTCCCTCTTTTCACCTTTTTTTTTTTTTTGTATTTAGGACAGGGTTTACAGGGTGTATAGGGTCTCACTGCGTAGATCGGACTCATAGTGATCCTCCTGTTTACAGCGTCCCAAGAGCTGGGATTATAGTCATGCACCACCACGCCCAGTTTCAATCACCCAGTTTCAATCCCCATCTCAGTGCACCCCAGGGGTGTGGCCGGCACAGCAGGCCCAGGGATCGAAGTCTAGGCCTCTGCATCTGCTAAGCAGGCGCTTTAATCTGCTGAGCTATTTGGCCGGCCCAACCAATGTAGATCTTGCAAAAGTTTCAGTAACCAATTCTAAGCAAAGGAACTGGAGGCCTTAGCAGGTGACAGGGTCACTCAAAGAACGTCCTTTCTAGCGCGGCAACCTGGCCGTTCTCCCTCGCTCACATGTAGAATGCTAGTTATTCATGTATGACCATTCACCGAATTTCCTACATCAGTGATCCCCCCACCCCCTCGCTGCCAGTACCAGGGATCAAGCCCAGGGGCGCTCTACCACTGAACTACATCCCTAGACCTTTTATTCAACGTTTTACTTTATGGCAGGTTGCCCGCACGGCACTTGCATTTGCAATGCTGCTGTCTTGCTTCCTTTGGTGCATCAGTGATACTTCAACGGAATTCCTTGTCATGCTTCCTGGGGTCTGATTCTCCCTATGCTAAAGCCAAGGGGGTCTACACTGCCCATCCAGACACCATGGGTATAGACAGCAGAAAAGATGTGGGTTTCCGAGGACACAAAGCCTGGCCTGTATCTGAGCTCTGCTACTTGCTAGCTGAGCCCCTAAGCAATTTCTCCAAGTCTTTGTTTATCTCCCTGTAAAAATGGCAACAGCAGTGCTTCCTGCTTCCTTTCCTCAGAGACTGCTGCAAGGGCAAAGACCACGAGTGGGTGTTGCTCAACTCAGGGGCAGGGGCTCATTCCAGAGCCATGCAATGAGACCACGAAACAGCTACCCATGGCGGAGGGAGTGAGGCAGAAGACCACGGTGTGGCAGGGTGGCTGGTTGGCAATGGGACCTGTCAGCCATGGGGACTTGTGAACTGCGAGCGCAGAGAGTCAGCCTCTGCGCCCTCCACCTAATCCCGATCCGAGAAAGTCGATGCGCCCTCTTCTGGCATAAGACCTTCAGGGAACCATGCCAAGCCCTGCAGCTCACACCACACCTGCTTCTGGTAGAAGCAGGTATAAAAGACAGTGGCCATTAAGCTCGGGGTTGCTATGTACCTTCTCGGAAGCCTGCCTTGCTGCGCCCTGTGGGCTGGACAGTACCTCTTAACCTCCTTTCTTGCTTTACCTGACCTCTGCTCACTGTGGGGCCCTTCTTTTCAGAGCTTTTTCTTCTTGAGCACTTCTTTTTTTTTTTAGACAACAAGGAGACAGCACCACTGAGCATATCCTAGGGCTATCTCCTTCCCAGAACGTGCCGGCCACCCCAGTCTGGCCTCCCCTCCTGCTAGCACCAGAGAAGCGGGTCATTTCTGGGGTTAGTGGAAACAGGGAGCTCAGATATGCAGCAAGTGGAGTTGCTATGAAAATGGGGCCGGTGAAGCCAGGTGTGATGCACGCATCTGTAATTTCAGCACTTGGAGTAAAGAGTTCTTCAAGGCCAGCCTGAACTACACAGGGAGACCCTATCTCAAAAAAAAGAAAGAAAACCAAAGGACCAGGGAGCTAGCACTGCAGCAGGACTCAAGAGGCAGGTCCTGGCTTGCCTGAATGGCAGATGGAAAACTGCCCTCCTCCCCTAAACCTACACCTCCTCGGGGTGACTTTGAGCTTTCATTTTAATGAAGTAGTGAAGAATCAACTTTTTTGAAAACTTAACTACAGGGCAACCAAAGGGGCCCAGTGGGCATTTACACAGCAGTCCGAAAGCATTCAGCCACCACGGTTTCATGCTGTTAGGTGACACAAAGGAGGAAGTATTTCAGAAGCAGGAGAGGAGATGGATGATACCAAAACTGTTTAAGGAGAGGATCCAGGGCCAGGGAGATGGCTCAGTAGAATAAGCGCTTGCCTGGTAAGCGCAAGGGCCTGAGTTCAATCCCTGGTAGTTCAATCCCCAGTTCCACCAAAACAAACAAACAAACAAACAAAAAAAAAAGCCCAACAAATTTACACTCAGTGAAGATGGTGTAAAAATGAACACGTTTTATCACAGTGATAACTCTGTGTGGTGGTACACTCCCATAACCCCAGAATTGTGAGAAGCTGAGGCTGGAGGATCACAAGCTCAAGCCTAACTTGGGTGCCTTAGCAAGCCTCGGTCTAAAAATAAAAAAGGGCTACGGTCTAAGCACTGGCCTGGCAAGCGCAAGGACTGGGTTCCATCCCTGGCACCACATGCTGTGCTGGCCCCGCCTCCAAGCTGCAAAGTGAGACCCTGCGCCAGATACATGAATTTAGGGCTGGCGAGATAG